CGAACTTTTATAAAGCTGCCGCTGACCAGTCAACTTTGCACCAACTTTAAAAAAAGCCAACTTTACGGAGCTACTAAATAAGACTCTCATTTTCGGCCATGTTCTTAAGAATATATATAAAAAAGAAAAATTAAGGCCTTTTTAAATTTTTTCGATTTCCAAAGCGAAGCGGCCACATCGGCTTGTATGAAAACTAACCACTCCAGCTCCGTTTTCGCGAACCCGGAGCCACAAACCTGGAGCTGAATATCCTGTCATCAGAATGGTAACTACTGGTCGCAATGGCTGGCCGGCTCATCGACAGTGATCGGCCATTCCTGGTAATTTTCTTCCATAGACGTCTCCAACAATTCCTGACTGTTCATCTGGGATTGGTTTGATGACTGGCCAACAGATGACTGGCCACTGATTGTTGGTGATTTGCTTCCAGGTGATTGGTGAAGAGCCTGGAATGACGTTTGTTTTGCCATCACCACGGCAGAGACGTCGTACGAACCACAACGTCTGTGGAAAATACGACGGAAAAAGGATGACAGTCGTTCAGTGAATGAACGCTTTACTCGCAACCTTGAAGAGATAAACATTTCTTAATTGTTGCTATAGAGGCCTAATCCTGATGATTTGAAGAATATAGTCATGCTAATAGACACAGCAAAAAAACTTTCACAACTACACAGCCTTGTTTCAAAATGTAAACGATTAGACAGAATTAGAAATAACGTTGCAAAGGCTTTGCAACCAGCAAAGGTTGATAGTAACAACATCAAATGATTCAACAACTCAGTACTCAACATTAGTAAAGCACGTTTACATCGTCGCAGGGACCACTGACCAGGAACCTAGGCGTATTGTTGCACTATTTCGGGATAACACCGTCTCCGAAATACATATTGATATTAGTTGAAGGTGAAGTTACTCACCAGGAGTGCTTTGCAACCTTTTTTATACTTGGTCGGGCCGCTGGGTCCATGCTAAATAATTTTCTCATTAGGTCTTGCAAATCTACAGATAAAAAATTCGAATACAAAATCCTGGATGGCCTTGTCATATATATGAGAAAAACGAAAAACAACAAGCAAGATTTAAATATTCTTAGCAACAACGGTTGGTGTGATTGATATGCATTCCAACTTCAAAAGGGAATTCGGGAATATATGTATGAATGCTGATCTCTATTTTTCCGGCTTTCTCTAACCTGTTATAATTTCATGAATTTAACTCACCTTCAGATAAATCATCCAGTTTTGGCGGTCCTGATATAACATCTGCAAATGTTGTGTAATCCGTAAAAGCTGGTTCGCCGTGCAACATTTCATATATCATGACTCCAATAGACCGCACAGCTTCCTTGCAAGGATCATACAATTCATGCAGAATATATTCCGGAGGCATATTGTATGGAGTGCCTGAAGGAATATACATGTACAATGAAATTAACCAGTCTTTTTGAATGGAATAAAACTACTAAGCAATGACCGGAAAAGTTGAAATTTAAGAAAATGAGAAATATTACTGGGGTTGATAGTTTTACAACAGATTAAACCTGACTAAAATTAAAGCCAGTATTTTGAAACCTGAAAAAGTAAATTCTCACAGGTTCGATCAAGGATTTTTAACAATGTAGCTGATGAATTGCTACTTTGGAAGAGAAATTGGAAAGACAAATTTGTTTTATGATAACAAAATCTCACGCTAAAGGTGCATGGGAACGGAATTTGGTGATTAAAACTCAGACAACAGAGATAACAACCTCGTACCCAGGGTCTTTTTACCTCCGCTCCAAGGCCCACGCTGGTACGAGGTTGCAGAGGTAAATTATTCATGACATTCCAGGAAAGTTTACTCACCACAGAAAGTGTCAACTAGGTTGCCAGGTTTATTATAGCCCGCAAATCCAAAATCAAGCAACTTGATTTCACCAGTATCGAAATCATAAAGGATGTTCTCCAATTTCAGATCACGATGAACGATGTTCTTCTTGGACATCGCCAATACAACGTTGACCAACTTCTTCATGCATTGTTGAGTTTCATCCTCGGTGAAGAAACCTCCTACGTCCCACATGAGGCTTCGGAGATCTTTGCAATGAGTCGGTCTTTCGCAAATGATCACAAATTCCTCAGATGATAAAGACTGATAATGATAGAACTTGATGACATTTGGATGATCTTTCATCTTCTTCAGGAAATACACTTCACTTGGTACATCACCGAGGTCTTTATCCTGTTAAAGAACAATTGTAGGAGAATTCGATACCGTTGTTTAGCAAACGAAGGACAACTGTTCGATAGGGTGTCCTAGTACAGTACCCGTTTCTGTCCGCTGTTTCAAAAGTGGAGGTGGACAATGCGAAAATGATTACTTTTCTTCATGCTACACAAATCTTTGATACAATCAAAGAACCATTGCTGATTTCACGAAATTTTAGGTAACTTAAATTAATTTTGAAATTCAGCCTGGAAATTAGATACCTCTTTGATTCAAAATGGTAATTCAACGTCGTCATGAGTGGAAACGGCTAACAAAATTAATCATTTAATATGTTTGCAACACTCAATTTTCACGGACTGTTGCTATATCATCTCCTATGCCCAAAACTTCAACCTCGTGGAGTTTCAACGACCTTACTGTTACTCACCTTGCGATACTCACGAACCGTTTTATACTTTACAAATTTCAGGGCGACCTAAGAGAAGAAAAAAATTAACCGCTTACATCGATGGTTTTCCTGAAAAATTCAACGGTATGGCTGACAACTAGTAAGATTTGGGCATTTTACTTCATCTCAGAAGCATGGAGGGCAATATGGCAAATAATGCCGAGGAATGTTTGTTTTAGGAAGGAGAGACATTTTGTAAGAATTACCGGTGTTTTTTTGGTTCCTTTTATGGCATAACCCTTGAAAACTCCACCAAATCCACCTTCGCCAATCAAGCCATTTTCGATATAGTAGTATGTCACACCTGAAAGTCAAAAGCAATTGCTTGTTAATACAACTAAATAACTAAAGAAATATGTAAAGTAAAATGGATTTTAGAATAAAAAAACAAATGCTAAAAAAATAGGTTCGTGATTTCTATAACGTTAGAATCGACTTGCCTTTTGACTTGCAAACTTCAACAAGGTTTTCCCCATCGACAACTCTAGTGACGCGTGGCACATTTGAAGGTTGGGAAGGTTTGACTTGGCTTTCTTTCATGATTTTCCACTTGATGAGTTTTTCTTTCAAAATGTTACGCTTTCTCTTCACGTCATAGATGCTTGGGAATATAAATTGAAAATTTTTTTAATAGATCTAAATTGAGGAGTGTAATGGGAATATTTTAATAAATACAGCTGTTGTTAACTTGTTTGTTTACTTTACGGACTGCATGTAGCTACACCATCTTAAATTATCAATAAATACCGCGCCTACCTTTCATTTGTGCTATCTGGAACTGCAGTTGAGCAAGATTGAAGCTATAAACATAAAGAATATCGTTATGGGTTAGTGAGTTGACTTGTGCTTATTGTGTTTCTATTTAATTGCATTAATATCAAAATATTATTGAACAAAAATTTGTTAGAATCAAAAGTACTGAAGTTTGCCGATCTTTCATTGTTATTTTTGAGATAAATTTAATCTTCAAAAAGAGTTTTGGATTGTAAGCTGCTCATTTCTTACCATTTGTTGAGACGATTGTGAGATTTGGAAGAGTTCACCGGCAGAATGTTGGTTTCCACTGTGTATTAATGAAAATGAAGAATATTTAGTTAAAGAATGAAAGATGAAGAATATCGCATTTAGAAATTGCTGCCTATTTTTTACCACCTAATTGTCGGTACAAACATGAAGCTAAATATTTGTCGACGTATATAATAGAGGGTGCCCAGAAATATTGCGCTAAGTTAAAGATAGGCGCAAACAGGGGCGTGTTTTAAATTTTGGTCGAGGCTGTTTTCAGCAATTTTCCGCGGCCCTTGGATGACCCCACTAAATTCGGCTTAGAAAACGCATCATAAAACCCTCAAACTATAGCACTTTGAAAGACTGAAATCTTAGATAAATAAAATCTTACCAATCCCAGGAATACTCCATGTCAAAGAAGCGTAAAAACTGAAATAGTAAATAGTAAAAAGTCTGGTTAAGTGGAGAGTTGAACTGACTTCTCAAACTCAAACAGCAAAGACGCGCCTTTGAAATAATAACATGTGTCATTTCAATATCTCATAACCATACTACTTCCTAGAATATTTATGCACGGATTTTACAACATCAACTAGAGTAATTTCCTTTGTTTCAAATCATGAATTATATTAGGAAAAATTAGAATACAACCTACAATTATGCAACTGTTTAGGAGATCAATATACATGAAAAAAGCAAACTTATTTTTCAATTGATAATAAAAAATTCTTTACCTCAGAATACTCCGAGATTTGAGACGCGTTTACGTAATCAAATGAACACTGGACACTACCAGCACTAAAAACGATATTTTGTATTAATGTAGGGGACTTGAAGTGGTAAAAGTCTGTAACCTCACCAAATAAAAGAACAGGTTTATATATTCGGAAGGTAAATCAATTACGTTTATTTAAGTCTTATATTACGTAATATATTAAGTTTTACTAATGCATCCCAAATTCAAGCCAGGAATAGTCGAGGAAAAAGTTGTCAGGTATCGTTGCCTTGTTAGAATTCAAACCTACGCCTTTGCGATGCCGACATTATTATTATCATCGTTATTTTTTCGTATCACAGATGAATAATATTTCCCCAAAATAAAGACAAACACGTGTCAATATAATAAAACATCCTTATGTTATAGCTAGACGCAATGTAAATAAAGATCACACCTCAGAGATCTCTCAAACGTTTCTTCTTCAAACGAAATACTGATTCCTCCTGTGAAAATTAGAACGTTTATAAGCTTAATAAAGTATTGCTTTAATTCCCGATTTCCAATTCATTCTTAAAATCACAGAGCCGTCCACAAAAGAAAAACACTAATTCATACCTTATAGGAGATCCGAGAATCATTAGAATTGATATTCCTGGACAGAGGGGAAAGAAAAAATGCATTAATAATGTTAAAAGTTTTAAACAAAAATTCCCTTAAAGATCGAAGCGCAGTCTTAAACATTTAGAGAGCGAGAAACACGCAGAATCCAATTCTAGGCCATTCATACGCCTAAATGTAAAAATGTTATACAAAAATTCTTATTACAAAGCCGTATACAAGATGTATGAGAGTATTTTTAAACTTTGGCTTATTCATGCACCGTTTGAGCTAAACGCCTTTCGAACAACCGCTCCCAGAAAGTTTGCTAAATTTTTTGTCCTACTGACAGAAAAAAAATTCCATATAAACTAAACATCTCCCCCTTGCGTTGAAAGATGAGGGTAGCTAAATGAGTAAGAAGCACTTGTATGGTTTGTCGTGACGCAAGGAATACCTTTTTATTATTATACTTTATAATAAAATATTACGTATTATTATCATCGTTATTTTTTCGTATCACAGATGAATAATATTTGCCCAAAATGAAGACAAACACGTGTTAATATAATAAAACATCCTTATGTTATAGCTAGACGCAATGTAAATAAAGATCATACCTGAGGGATCTCTCAAACGTTTCTTCTTCAAACGAAAATACTGATTCCTCCTGTGAAAATTAGAACGTTTATAAGCTTAATAAAGTATTGCTTTAATTCCCGATTTCCAAATCATTCTTAAAATCACAGAACCGTCCACAAAAGAAAAACACTAATTCATACCTTATAGGAGATCCGAGAATCATTAGAATTGATATTCCTGGACAGAGGGGAAAGAAAAAATGCATGAATAATGTTAAAAGTTTTAAACAAAAATTCCCTTAAAGATCGAAGCGCAGTCTTAAACATTTAGAGAGCGAGAAACACGCAGAATCCAATTCTAGGCCATTCATACGCCTAAATGTAAAAATGTTATACAAAAATTCTTATTACAAAGCCGTATACAAGATGTATGAGAGTATTTTTAAACTTTGGCTTATTCATGCACCGTTTGAGCTAAACGCCTTTCGAACAACCGCTCCCAGAAAGTTTGCTAAATTTTTTGTCCTACTGACAGAAAAAAAAATTCCATATAAACTAAACATCTCCCCCTTGCGTTGAAAGATGAGGGTAGCTAAATGAGTAAGAAGCACTTGTATGGTTTGTCGTGACGCAAGGAATACCTTTTTATTATTATACTTTATAATAAAATATTACGTATTATTATCATCGTTAATTTTCGTATCACAGATGAATAATATTTCCCCAAAATGAAGACAAACACGTGTCAGTATAATAAAACATCCTTATGCTATAGCTAGACGCCATGTAAATAAAGATCATACCTCAGAGATCTCTCAAACGTTTCTTCTTCAAACGAAAATACTGATTCCTCCTGTGAAAATTAGAACGTTTATAAGCTTAATAAAGTACTGCTTTAATTCCCGATTTCCAATTCATTCTTAAAATCACAGAGCCGTCCACAAAAGAAAACTAATTCATACCTTATAGGAGATCCGAGAATCATTAGAATTGATATTCCTGGACAGAGGGGAAAGAAAAAATGCATGAATAATGTTGAAAGTTTTAAACGTTTAGAGAGTGAGGCCCCCAAAACACGCAGAACCCAATTCTAGGCCATTCATACGCCAAAATGTAAAGATGTTACACAAAAATTCTATTACAAAGCCGTGAATTGACGTGGAACGGGCGTTTGGATTTACGCGCGCGTTTTTATTTGCGCGTGCATTTACTTTGTTCGTTCCGCTGAACTGCGGTGTTTAAGTATAATTTTGATTTCCATTTCTTAAATCAAATCTCAAAACCAGTTTACGTTGTCGATTTCGACGGTGAACTAAATTCTCTTCCTTCCGAAACACAAGCGGAACTGTGTAAACACTTTTCTCTCTTTATATTTTATAAATTAAGCCACTTAATAATACGAAAAATAAATTAAAACAAAAAATGTATGTAAACCACAATTATTTTTACACTAAACAATAAAATCTTAAATATACTTACATATTTTCTCGATAATTTCAATGTAGAATATTGAACAGCAATATAACAACGCCTTTGAAAACAATTTGCAACGAACTAACTTCGCGAAATGTGAACCTCTCGAAAAATTTCGACAAGTGAGCGGTCCTTTGTTGACGTAGATAATTAATACTTTTGCGCCCGCGAGTTTTGGTGAGCAAGCGAGACACTGAGTCAGCGTTCGCGATTACCTCGTAATATGGAAAATGTATAGTATAAATAAGTACCTATAATTATTTTATGTAAGTACATATTTATGCTGAAGTATGCAATCTACAATCTTGTGGTAATGTACAACGATTTCTTAAGCCTCGTTGACTCTCATTTACACCAGAGTGTTCAAAAAGTGCCTATAATATACGTAGTGATTCTTTCTTCAAAGGTGATTTATCTTGAGCCATTTTAGCCGAACATCAGATTTACAGTCCTGTTCGTCGTTTTACATTACGCCACGAGTTGTTAAATTCAAAATTATAATGTATCTTCAGAATGTGTGCAAGGAAAAAGTTCTGTTTTAAAACATTCGGCGGTTTAATTGAACTTACTCAAGAAACCTTTTGCTCAGATTTCATATTTTTAGCTTTAGGAACCTATCTACAGGTCTGTACCAATTGTGGCATCATTGCGATTTTTGGCTGTGCTCTTTTTCCGGAAGAACTTTAGCAGTTGTTGTCTTGTAGAAGCGAGGTCTGCAAGGTTGCTTGCTACAATCATGCAACAACTAAGTCTTCCATACTCAAAAGATCCACAGAAAATTTCTGTGTGATGATCTTTGAAAGGAGGTATTTTATTCTTTATACATAAAGAACATCCCCTTACAATATTGTGTGCTTCGTCGAAGATGATAATACTCTTTGAAATATCAATGTCGTTTGATTGTCATGACTATATTAAAGAGGAAAACTTTGTTGGATATATTTAATATATCTTGACCAATTCAGCTGAATGAGCTATCCCTACAGATACAGGCTCGATGCTAGGGGGGGGGGATGGTAGGTATACGAAGATACTGATCTCTTACGTTCAAAAGAATGCATGCAGGCTTATGGATTCAAAAATACATACCAAGCAACTCGCGGTAAATATTTAAAACCGCTTCTTTTCACGAGAGTGAATTTTTTTAGGCGGAAAATCGGCTTTAAAAGCAGTCAAATCGAAGAGTCGAGTCAAATACCTTTGTATCGATTAAATAATTGTACGGCATGAATACAATGTCAGCATTTTTCACAAATGGAATTTTTCACAGATGAAATAAGGACAGCGACTATAAAAATAATAAATATATCAAAACGATCAGGCTCAAAATGACTTACACGAACTTGTCGCATTTATTGTCACCTTTCTTTCTTCCCAAGTCGAACAAGATCCTCAATATCCAAAATCTCCGATGCCAACTCTTTTGTACAGGAATCATCTACAACAAGAGATACAGAAATTAACAATAAGTTCCTGTTTAAATGAGCTTGTTAGGCATGCAATAAAATGCAGGCCCGTTCTAGACGTCGGACTTTTTATGTGCCGAATTGAATGCAAAAACAGACTAAAGACTCTAGGTTCCGAACATGAATGGACCATATAAATTCATCACTCTAGTTAGATTGACAGGGGAAAGCCCTCAAATTTAAAGTGTCTATTTGCAAGGGAAATACCAAACAATCTCTGACGATACTGTATTCGCCAATGGCAATGGCCGAATAGCCAAATAAAAACACTTCTTAGTGGTAGTACCTTGTTCAAGCATATTATAGTAATGACACGTCTTTGATAACACTTTCGTACGGCAAAAATGCCTGTAAAAATAGTAAAAACAACCTTCATGAACTGTGGGGATTATTTTAAGGGCAAAATATCCCGAGCGTGGTTATACTACTACCTATGCACCTATACTGTAGATAGTGAATTATTCAGTTTATCGACCTGGCAAGAAAATGGGTATATGGTATGTATTTCAGCTACAAGCCTGTTTACCAACGAAGTCATTTATACTTGCCTTGGCCGTGTGTGTTTCTTGTTCAGGAACCTGGGGATGAATGCACAGCTGGTCACGTGATCCTAGCACGCATACTTTCGGTCTGAAACAAAAATAAATAGAAAACGTCAATTTCAAATTTTCCTCACAGTTAAATCTTAGTTTCCCGGTTGAACTCAGCACTCAGGGCTTCATGTTAATCGTGTTACCCTGCGTTGTTTTTGCGCTCGGGTTTGAGGCTGTGAATGCCGGGCTTAATTCAACCTCAAGCCAGTTGAAATTTGAAAATGCCTTATATCATATGAGCCGCGAGTATAATTAACTTACTTGTAAACTGTACTCTTCAGTTCATTTACGACTTGTGTAAGTTGTGAATGAGTTCTTGATGTGTAGATGATTTTTGGGATTAAATATTCGGGAGATTAATAGAGAAAAAATATATCAGGAAGCTTCTCGGTTAGAATATTTAGCTGAATGTGAGCTAGATAAGCAGGATATGCTCACATCCAAATAATCAAAGAAACAATAGCTATACGCGTTTATAAATATATTATTATAAATATGGCGGTGAATATATTATTGTGAAGTGATAAAAAATATTATGAACGAGTACATTTTAAAAGACAAACAGGTTGACCTATGGCAAAATTATCTTGTTTATTTGACGTCAGATCGTTTGATAAAAGGCTATATAAAGGCTCATTGCAGAAATCTTAAAGAATATAAAGAAAACAAGTAAGAAAATCTTTGAAATTACATTGTACTTTCTGAGCGCATGTAAAACACAATTGCTCATACTACATCATTTCTGTTGTTTGGTCATGCGATGAAAAAACGTGCAGCTATTGGTTCTTTGATTAATTATAGCGTCTAGCCCGCATTCTGATTGGTTCCTGAGGTCGCTACAGTTTCTCCATTTTGGCGCGAAATCGTAACATTCGCATTTTAGATCCGCCGTTGAGAAGTATATCAGCAAAATGTTTACTATTTTTCGCTTAGTAAGAAATATAATATCAATATTACAGTTTCAACCGGGTTCCTCTTCACCATTTTTACATTTTTTAGCCCTTTGTTTTATTGAAAATGTGGAATATTCCTAAACAAGTTCGAAATTCTAATTATTGAAAATGGCAACAAAATCTAAAAGCAACACATACGCCATTTTTCAGGTAAACATAATTTCATCAGATTATATGAAGATTCATGAAGATGTTGTTTTGAAATTGTGTTTTTTCTAACCTTTTACAGTAAGTTGTGTCTTGTTATTAAGGGCAAAAATCACAATGTAAACAAAGTTATACGAAAGTTGAATGACTTCAGAAACCTGTTGCGCTTGGAATTTTCGTTAAAAATCGTTCCGTGTATCAATTTCGAGACTTATTATGGGCTGTACAGAAGGATACCTGAACTATAGTTCCCGCTACTTTATTTTCATAAAAACTAGACTAAATGCCCTTATGGACTTTATGCCCAGATAATAGGCAATATATATGCGTTCAAATCAGACTCACATTTTACAATAGTTTACCTTCACTTCACTTTACATTTACGGATTTTACCTTCACTTTCTTCTGACATCCAGCCATCAGCAGCATGCCCAAGGTTTCTTTCTAAATCATCACAAAACTGGCCACTTGCTTTATTTTCTTGAACCTTCATACTCAGTTGCAAGCGAGCCACAAATGTGTCTCTCCAGGCCAGTGTTGCACAAAGTAAACATAATGTCTTTCCAGTTCCTGTTGGTGATTCTAAGATACCATTTTTACCCTAAAAATGCTAGGATGTTATTGTCTGCAGAAAGCTGGCTATTTGTGTTATAATGTATGGCGGTGTATGGTGGGGTGAGCCACAATTAGGCAGGGTGTGAGACATATATAACACTAAAAGAAAAAAATACACAGCTTTTTAGTAATTGTTGATAACTTGACTCATATATTAATGACAAACCCAAAAATAATTTACATTAATACAAACCAACCCTTAACACCTAATTATATTTAGCAACATTTAGTACAATTTGAACTTTAAAGATGGAGAGCAAAGGTAAGATATAAAAAAAACAAATAAAATAGTAGAGTACACAAAACTTGATACAAATAAAAATCATATTTGGTGAATTGCCAGATAATGTGCTGCTAATTTTCAAGTTTTCATTCTTGTGGCTAACTGTCAGGTAAAATTCTTTTGTTTGTACCAAAGTCGAAATGATGGAAATTAAAGACATTAAAGGGCTGTTTACCTGAGCCCTACGGAGGGAGGCTAGCCCAACCTGTAGGGCTGTTTTTCACCTCTGTTTACATGCAAAATTCTAGCCCCACATCTACGGCTGAGTCTGGATGGCACAATTTGGCACTAAAAACCAAAATGGCTGGCAAAAAAACCCCACAAAATTGTTATTTTCATTATTTCATTTAAAATATCTTTACTTTTCCTGATGATTTTTCAACAGTATACCTGTTATTGCTTCGAAAAATTAATGAAGAAAGCTGGAACCGTCAAATAGTGTCATCGCTGATGTCAAATCTTTAGCTAGCTGGCCCTGTTACGTTTACATGGAAAATTTCCAGCCCTACCAGGCAGATCTCGGTAGTCAATAACAGATCTCGCCTGGTAGGGCTGGCCCTCCTCTAATGAAAACAAAATTTTTCTTTAGTATGGATTTATAGTAGCACGAGCTATCTTGCTTGGTAGGGCTAGCTAGCCTTCCCTATAGGGCTCATGTAAACAGCCCTCAGGTGATTTTTTAAAAATATACATTGGCTGGTAAATCTGAAGATTTTGGTGTGGGTTAGTGCACCAGGAAGCAAAGTTGTAGAATGCAGACATTTTAAGATTTTGGTCCTTTCTTTTCTAATTGATTAATGGTTAACAAAGACTAAATTTATTGTAAAAATATTTCTGGAATGGATCCAGATTAATAATAGCTGATATTGATGGAAATTTTTTGATATCTTCTGCAACTGTTCATGCTATACCCTTTTTAAAATGCAGGAACAAAACGTGTTATTTGTGAGTTTATATCACCAAGAGTACTGTACTAGTACTACATAAACATTGAGTTAAAATGCAAATCAACAGATAAGAGAATAGGAATGCATCAGAGCGATGTCTCAGCATCAGAGACTAACAAGAATTGTACACAAGACTCTCATAATCATCTCAGACAAGGACTATGTTAAACACCATCAAAATTCGAAACAAAATAAAATGTAGGCGACCAACCTCTTGCAAACATTCAATCACTTTGCTCATATAGTTTACTTGGCAGTCGTAAGGCTTGTATGGGAAATCAATTTCGACTCCCCGTACCTTGATCACTGGCATGGTTGAACGGTGAGTCTAAAATACTACATTTTGTTGCAAAAGTATTCGCCTTTAAATTCTACAAAGTAACAAAAGCAAACGATCATGAGCAAATGCTTATTTTTTTCACAATTTGCGCCATTTGTCTTCGTTAGTCCTCAGTCTTCTCAGGACGGGCACTGAACTCATGCTTAACCTGGATGGTTGAATAACTTGGCAGCTTAAACTCGAGTAAACCTGAAATAGATCTTATGCATAATGACGTAACAAGCCGTGACGCCTGCAGAGAATTCTTGTTTTAGTAGTCACTGCGAAAAATTCAAACTTACAATGCTATCATATACTGATATATATTCATAATTTCATGCACTTAACAACTATTTACAATGATGTTTGCAATTGATCTTATACAAACATTTGCACAGCCTGTTCTCTAAACTAGTTTAATAATGCTCCTTTACTCTCCTGCAATCACAGTCAGACCATTGGTCTTATAATGGCCGAGAGACTTCTCAGCAGAATACTCTCAGACGGTTCATAGGTAATTGTCGACACTTGCCGTAACTTTCTGGTTGATCAAAGCAGCTCTCTGCCAGTGGCTTCCACATGGTGATGTTAACTTTCTCCGGAATGGTGCAGGTCAGGTGAATTTCTAACTTCGATTGATCGACCATTGAAGGAGGAGAGTACCAAAAAGAGCAATTGGCACTAGGATGATTGACCAATTACCGAGAACATGAATAAGTTCATAGCTGTATAAGTTCAGAGCATTAGCTTAGTTCGTCAACACTGCTCGCAAATATGTTCTTCCTACTGGCCACCAATGAGATGTCTTATTTGATGGCAGAATGGTATGACAGGATATTCAGCTTGGCGTTCGTGGCTCCGGGTTCGCGAAAACGGAGCTGGCTCCGAGTTCGCGAACCGGTTTCATACAAACCGATGTGGCCGCTTCGCTTTTAATACAATATTGTTAAGAACATGGCCGAAAATGAGAGTTTTATTTCATTTAGTTTGCTCGCAATAGCTCCGTAAAGTTGGCTAATTTTTGCACAAAGTTGACTGGTCAGCGGCATGGGCGACGGCAAGGGTTTATAAAAGTTCGATTTACTAGCTTAGTTTTTGTAAAAACCAAAAGATGGCGATTCGAGAGAAAGCTTATGAGAATATCTTCTAGCTTGCGAAATCACGACAAGCAACTTGTTTAAAGTCTAGCAATTTGATTTCATGCACGTACCCGTATATAATTGTAATCCCTTCGCGAAGGCAACTAACCCGGTTTCTGCAAATTCTTGTTTTTCCACATAGGTTTTTCCACATATGATCAATGTCAATGTAAATGTCATATGATCAATATAACATTTGATCATATGACATTTACATTGACATTCATCATATGACATTTACAGTTCAATAAACCTATGTGGAAAAACGCAGTAACCGGGCTAGTTGCCTTCGCGAAGGGATCCGGATTAAATTTATGTCACGGGTGCGTGCATGAAATCAGACTTTACAGAAGTTGCCTGTCGTGTTTTCGCAAGCTTGAAGGTTAGAAGTATAAGGATATTCTCATAAGCTGTCTCTCGAATGCCCATCTTTGAGTTTTTACAAAAACTCGTCGTAAAGCTAGTAAATCGAACTTTTATATAGCTGCCGCTGACCAGTCAACTTTGCGCCAACTTTAAAAAAAGCCAACTTTACGGAGCTACTAAATAAGACTCTCATTTTCGGCCATGTTCTTAAGAATATATATAAAAAAGAAAAATTAAGGCCTTTTTAAATTTTTCGATTTCCAAAGCGAAGCGGCCACATCGGCTTGTATGAAAACTAACCACTCCAGCTCCGTTTTCGCGAACCCGGAGCCACAAGCCTGGAGCTGAATATCCTGTCATCAGAATGGTAACTACTGGTCGCAATGGCTGGCCGGCTCATCGACAGTGATCGGCCATTCCTGGTAATTTTCTTCCATAGACGTCTCCAACAATTCCTGACTGTTCATCTGGGATTGGTTTGATGACTGGCCAACAGATGACTGGCCACTGATTGTTGGTGATTTGCTTCCAGGTGATTGGTGAAGAGCCTGGAATGACGTTTGTTTTGCCATCACGGCAGAGACGTCGTACGAACCACAACGTCTGTGGAAAATACGACGGAAAAAGGATGACAGTCGTTCAGTGAATGAACGCTTTACTCGCAACCTTGAAGAGAATAAAACATAATTTCTTAATTGTTGCTATAGAGGCCTAATCCTGATGATTTGAAGAATATAGTCATGCTAATAGACACAGCAAAAAAACTTTCACAACTACACAGCCTTGTTTCAAAATGTAAACGATTAGACAGAATTAGAAATAACGTTGCAAAGGCTTTGCAACCAGCAAAGGTTGGATAGTAACAACATCAAATGATTCAACAACTCAGTACTCAACATTAGTAAAGCACGTTTACATCGTCGCAGGGACCACTGACCAGGAACCTAGGCGTATTGTTGCACTATTTCGGGATAACACCGTCTCCGAAATACATATTGATATTAGTTGAAGGTGAAGTTACTCACCAGGAGTGCTTTGCAACCTTTTTTATACTTGGTCGGGCCGCTGGGTCCATGCTAAATAATTTTCTCATTAGGTTTTGCAAATCTACAGATAAAAAATTCGAATACAAAATCCTGGATGGCCTTGTCATATATAGGAAAAACGAAAAAAACAAGCAAGATTTAAATATTCTTAGCAACAACGGTTGGTGTGATTGATATGCATTCCAACTTCAAAAGGGAATTCGGGAATATATGTATGAATGCTGATCTCTATATTTTTCGGCTTTCTCTAACCTGTTATAATTTCATGAATTTAACTCACCTTCAGATAAATCATCCAGTTTTGGCGGTCCTGATATAACATCTGCAAATGTTGTGTAATCCGTAAAAGCTGGTTCGCCGTGCAACATTTCATATATCATGACTCCAATAGACCGCACAGCTTCCTTGCAAGGATCATACAATTCATGCAGAATGTATTCTGGAGGCATATTGTATGGAGTGCCTGAGGGAATAAAACATGTACAATGCAATTAACCAGTCTTTTTGAATGGAATAAAACTACTAAGCAATGACCGGAAAAGTTGAAATTTAAGAAAATGAGAAATATTACTGGGGTTGATAGTTTTACAACAGATTAAACCTGACTAAAATTAAAGCCAGTATTTTGAAACCTGAAAAAGTAAATTCTCACAGGTTCGATCAAGGATTTTTAACAATGTAGCTGATGAATTGCTACTTTGGAAGAGAAATTGGAAAGACAAATTTGTTTTATGATAACAAAATCTCACGCTAAAGGTGCATGGGAACGGAATTTGGTGATTAAAACTCAGACAACAGAGATAACAACCTCGTACCCAGGGTCTTTTTACCTCCGCTCCAAGGCCCACGCTGGTACGAGGTTGCAGAGGTAAATTATTCATGACATTCCAGGAAAGTTTACTCACCACAGAAAGTGTCAACTAGGTTGCCAGGTTTATTATAGCCCGCAAATCCAAAATCAAGCAACTTGATTTCACCAGTATCAAAATCATAAAGGATGTTCTCCAATTTCAGATCACGATGAACGATGTTCTTCTTGGACATCGCCAATACAACGTTGACCAACTTCTTCATGCATTGTTGAGTTTCATCCTCGGTGAAGAAACCTCCTACGTCCCACATGAGGCTTCGGAGATCTTTGCAATGAGTCGGTCTTTCGCAAATGATCACAAATTCCTCAGATGATAAAGACTGATAATGATAGAACTTGATGACATTTGGATGATCTTTCATCTTCTTCAGGAAATACACTTCACTTGGTACATCACCGAGGTCTTTATCCTGTTAAAGAACAATTGTAGGAGAATTCGATATCGTTGTTTAGCAAACGAATGACAACTGTTCGATAGGGTGTCCTAGTACAGTACCCGCTTCTGTCCGCTGTTTCAAAAGTGGGGTGGACAATGTGAAAATGATTACTTTTCTTCAGGCTACACAAATCTTTGATACAATCAAAGAACCATTGCTGATTTCACGAAATTTTAGGTAACTTAAATTAATTTTGAAATTCAGCCTGGAAATTAGATACCTCTTTGATTCAAAATGGTAATTCAACGTCGTCATGAGTGGAAACGGCTAACAAAATTAATCATTTAATATGTTTGCAACACTCAATTTTCACGGACTGTATGCTATATCATCTCCTATGCCCAAAACTTCAACCTCGCGGAGTTTCAACGTCTTTACTGTTACTCACCTTGCGATACTCACGAACCGTTTTATACTTTACAAATTTCAGGGCGACCTAAGAGAAGAAAAAAATTAACCGCTTACATCGATGGTTTTCCTGAAAAATTCAACGGTATGGATGACAACTAGTAAGATTTGGGCATTTTACTTCATCTCAGAAGCATGGAGGGCAATATGGCAAATAATGCCGAGGAATGTTTGTTTTTAGAAGGACAGACATTGTGTGAGAATTACCGGTGTTTTTTTAGTTCCTTTTATGGCATAACCCTTGAAAACTCCACCAAATCCACCTTCGCCAATCAAGCCATTTTCGATATAGTAGTATGTCACACCTGAAAGTCAAAAGCAATTGCTTGTTAATACAACTAAATAACTAAAGAAATATGTAAAGTAAAATGGATTTTAGAATAAAAAAACAAATGCTAAAAAAATAGGTTCGTGATTTCTATAACGTTAGAATCGACTTGCCTTTTGACTTGCAAACTTCAACAAGGTTTTCCCCATCGACAACTCTAGTGACGCGTGGCACATTTGAAGGTTGGGAAGGTTTGACTTGGCTTTCTTTCATGATTTTCCACTTGATGAGTTTTTCTTTCAAAATGTTACGCTTTCTCTTCACGTCATAGATGCTTGGGAATATAAATTGAAAATTTTTTTAATAGATCTAAAATTGAAGAGTGTAATGGGAATATTTTAATAAATACAGCTGTTGTTAACTTGTTTGTTTACTTTACGGACTGCATGTAGCTACACCATCTTAAATTATCAATAAATACCGCGCCTACCTTTCATTTGTGCTATCAGGAACTGCAGTTGAGCAAGATTGAAGCTATAAACATAAGGAATATCGTTATGGGTTAGTGAGTTGACTTGTGCTTATTGTGTTTCTATTTAATTGTATTAATATCAAAATATTATTGAACAAAAATTTGTTAGAATCAAAAGTACTGAAGTTTGCCGATCTTTCATTGTTATTTTTGAGATAAATTTAATCTTCAAAAAGAGTTTTGGATTGTAAGCTGCTCATTTCTTACCATTTGTTGAGACGACTGTGAGATTTGGAAGAGTTCACCGGCAGAATGTTGGTTTCCACTGTGTATTAATGAAAATGAAGAATATTTAGTTAAAGAATGAAAGATGAAGAATATCGCATTTAGAAATTGCTGCCCTATTTTTTACCACCTAATTGTCGGTACAAACATGAAGCTAAATATTTGTCGACGTATATAATAGAGGGTGCCCAGAAATATTGCGCTAAGTTAAAGATAGGCGCAAACAGGGGCGTGTTTTAAATTTTGGTCGAGGCTGGCGCACACTTAGCAATTTTCCGCGGCCCTTGGATGACCCCACTAAATTCGGCTTAGAAAACGCATCATAAAACCCTCAAACTATAGCACTTTGAAAGACTGAAATCTTAGATAAATAAAATCTTACCAATCCCAGGAATACTCCATGTCAAAGAAGCGTAAAAACTGAAATAGTAAATAGTAAAAAGTCTGGTTAAGTGGAGAGTTGAACTGACTTCTCAAACTCAAACAGCAAAGACGCGCCTTTGAAATAATAACATGTGTTATTTCAATATCTCATAACCATACTACTTCCTAGAATATTTATGCACGGATTTTACAACATCAACTAGAGTAATTTCCTTTGTTTCAAATCATGAATTATATCAGGAAAAATTAGAATACCACCTAAAATTATGCAACCGTTTAGGAGATCAATATACACGTGATAAAAAAGCAAACTTATTTTTCAATTGATAATAAAAAATTCTTTACCTCAGAATACTCCGAGATTTGAGACGCGTTTACGTAATCAAATGAACACTGGACACTACCAGCACTAAAAACGATATTTTGTATTAATGTAGGGGACTTGAAGTGGTAAAAGTCTGTAACCTCACCAAATAAAAGAACAGGTTTATATATTCGGAAGGTAAATTAATTACGTTTATTTACGTCTTATATTACGTAATATATTAAGTTTTACTCATGCATCCCAAATTCAAGCCAGGAATAGTCGAGGAAAAAGTTGTCAGGTATCGTTGCCTTGTTAGAATTCAAACCTACGCCTTTGCGATGCCGACATTTATTATCATCGTTATTTTTTCGTATCACAGATGAATAATATTTCCCCAAAATAAAGACAAACACGTGTCAATATAATAAACATCCTTATGTTATAGCTAGACGCAATGTAAATAAAGATCACACCTCAGAGATCTCTCAAACGTTTCTTCTTCAAACGAAAATACTGATTCCTCCTGTGAAAATTAGAACGTTTATAAGCTTAATAAAGTATTGCTTTAATTCCCGATTTCCAATTCATTCTTAAAATCACAGAGCCGTCCACAAAAGAAAAACACTAATTCATACCTTATAGGAGATCTGAGAATCATTAGAATTGATATTCCTGGACAGAGGGGAAAGAAAAAATGCATTAATAATGTTAAAAGTTTTAAACAAAAATTCCCTTAAAGATCGAAGCGCAGTCTTAAACATTTAGAGAGCGAGAAACACGCAGAATCCAATTCTAGGCCATTCATACGCCTAAATGTAAAAATGTTATACAAAATTCTTATTACAAAGCCGTATACAAGATGTATGAGAGTATTTTTAAACTTTGGCTTATTCATGCACCGTTTGAGCTAAACGCCTTTCGAACAACCGCTCCCAGAAAGTTTGCTAAATTTTTGTCCTACTGACAGAAAAAAAATTCCATATAAACTAAACATCTCCCCCTTGCGTTGAAAGATGAGGGTAGCTAAATGAGTAAGAAGCACTTGTATGGTTTGTCGTGACGCAAGGAATACCTTTTTATTATTATACTTTATAATAAAATATTACGTATTATTATCATCGTTATTTTTTCGTATCACAGATGAATAATATTTGCCCAAAATGAAGACAAACACGTGTTATATAATAAAACATCCTTATGTTATAGCTAGACGCAATGTAAATAAAGATCATACCTGAGGGATCTCTCAAACGTTTCTTCTTCAAACGAAAATACTGATTCCTCCTGTGAAAATTAGAACGTTTATAAGCTTAATAAAGTATTGCTTTAATTCCCGATTTCCAAATCATTCTTAAAATCACAGAACCGTCCACAAAAGAAAAACACTAATTCATACCTTATAGGAGATCCGAGAATCATTAGAATTGATATTCCTGGACAGAGGGGAAAGAAAAAATGCATGAATAATGTTAAAAGTTTTAAACAAAAATTCCCTTAAAGATCGAAGCGCAGTCTTAAACATTTAGAGAGCGAGAAACACGCAGAATCCAATTCTAGGCCATTCATACGCCTAAATGTAAAAATGTTACACAAAAATTCTTATTACAAAGCCGTATACAAGATGTATGAGAGTATTTTTAAACTTTGGCTTATTCATGCACCGTTTGAGCTAAACGCCTTTCGAACAACCGCTCCCAGAAAGTTTGCTAAATTTTTTGTCCTACTGACAGAAAAAAAAATTCCATATAAACTAAACATCTCCCCCTTGCGTTGAAAGATGAGGGTAGCTAAATGAGTAAGAAGCACTTGTATGGTTTGTCGTGACGCAAGGAATACCTTTTTATTATTATACTTTATAATAAAATATTACGTATTATTATCATCGTTAATTTTCGTATCACAGATGAATAATATTTCCCCAAAATGAAGACAAACACGTGTCAGTATAATAAAACATCCTTATGCTATAGCTAGACGCCATGTAAATAAAGATCATACCTCAGAGATCTCTCAAACGTTTCTTCTTCAAACGAAAATACTGATTCCTCCTGTGAAAATTAGAACGTTTATAAGCTTATAAAGTACTGCTTTAATTCCCGATTTCCAATTCATTCTTAAAATCACAGAAGCCGTCCACAAAAGAAAATAACTAATTCATACCTTATAGGAGATCCGAGAATCATTAGAATTGATATTCCTGGACAGAGGGGAAAGAAAAAATGCATGAATAATGTTGAAAGTTTTAAACGTTTAGAGAGTGAGGCCCCCAAAACACGCAGAACCCAATTCTAGGCCATTCATACGCCAAAATGTAAAGATGTTACACAAAAATTCTTATTACAAAGCCGTGAATTGACGTGGAACGGGCGTTTGGATTTACGCGCGCGTTTTTATTTGCGCGTGCATTTACTTTGTTCGTTCCGCTGAACTGCGGTGTTTAAGTATAATTTTGATTTCCATTTCTTAAATCAAATCTCAAAACCAGTTTACGTTGTCGATTTCGACGGTGAACTAAATTCTCTTCCTTCCGAAAGACAAGTGGAACTGTGTAAACACTTCTCTCTCTTTATATTTTATAAATTAAGCCACTTAATAATACGCAAAATGAATTAAAACAAAAAATGTATGTAAACCACAATTATTTTTACACTAAACAATAAAATCTTAAATATACTTACATATTTTCTCGATAATTTCAATGTAGAATATTGAACAGCAATATAACAACGCTTTTGAAAACAATTTGCAACGAACTAACTTCGCGAAATGTGAACCTCTCGAAAAATTTCGACAAGTGAGCGGTCCTTTGTTGACGTAGATAATTAATACTTTTGCGCCCGCGAGTTTTGGTGAGCAAGCGAGACACTGAGTCAGCGTTCGCGATTACCTCGTAATATGGAAAATGTTATAGTATAAATAAGTACCTATAATTATTTTATGTAAGTACATATTTATGCTGAAGTGCAATCTACAATCTTGTGGTAATGTACAACGATTTCTTAAGCCTCGTTGACTCTCATTTACACCAGAGTGTTCAAAAAGTGCCTATAATATACGTAGTGATTCTTTCTTCAAAGGTGATTTATCTTGAGCCATTTTAGCCGAACATCAGATTTAAAGTCCTGTTCGTCGTTTTACATTACGCCACGAGTTGTTAAATTTAAAATTATAATGTATCTTCAGAATGTGTGCAAGGAAAAAGTTCTGTTTTAAAACATTCGGCGGTTTAATTGAACTTACTCAAAAAACCTTTTGCTCAGATTTCATATTTTTAGCTTTAGGAACCTATCTACAGGTCTGTACTAATTGTGGCATCATTGCGATTTTTGGCTGTGCTCTTTTTCCGGAAGAACTTTAGCAGTTGTTGTCTTGTAGAAGCGAGGTCTGCAAGGTTGCTTGCTACAATCATGCAACAACTAAGTCTTCCATACTCAAAAGATCCACAGAAAATTTCTGTGTGATGATCTTTGAAAGGAGGTATTTTATTCTTTATACATAAAGAACATCCCCTTACAATATTGTGTGCTTCGTCGAAGATGATAATACTCTTTGAAATATCAATGTCGTTTGATTGTCATGACTATATTAAAGAGGAAAACTTTGTTGGATATATTTAATATATCTTGACCAATTCAGCTGAATGAGCTATCCCTACAGATACAGGCTTGATGCTAGGGGGGAGGGGATGGTAGGTATACGAAGATACTGATCTCTTACGTTCAAAAGAATGCATGCAGGCTTATGGATTCAAAAATACATACCAAGCAACTCGCGGTAAATATTTAAAACCGCTTCTTTTCACGAGAGTGAATTTTTTTAGGCGGAAAATCGGCTTTAAAAGCAGTCAAATCGAAGAGTCGAGTCAAATACCTTTGTATCGATTAAATAATTGTACGGCATGAATACAATGTCAGCATTTTTCACAAATGGAATTTTTCACAGATGAAATAAGGACAGCGACTATAAAAATAATAAATATATCAAAACGATCAGGCTCAAAATGACTTACACGAACTTGTCGCATTTATTGTCACCTTTCTTTCTTCCCAAGTCGAACAAGATCCTCAATATCCAAAATCTCCGATGCCAACTCTTTTGTACAGGAATCATCTACAACAAGAGATACAGAAATTAACAATAAGTTCCTGTTTAAATGAGCTTGTTAGGCATGCAATAAAATGCAGGCCCGTTCTAGACGTCGGACTTTTTATGTGCCGAATTGAATGCAAAAACAGACTAAAGACTCTAGGTTCCGAACATGAATGGACCATATAAATTCATCACTCTAGTTAGATTGACAGGGGAAAGCCCTCAAATTTAAAGTGTCTATTTGCAAGGGAAATACCAAACAATCTCTGACGATACTGTATTCGCCAATGGCAATGGCCGAATAGCCAAATAAAAACACTTCTTAGTGGTAGTACCTTGTTCAAGCATATTATAGTAATGACACGTCTTTGATAACACTTTCGTACGGCAAAAATGCCTGTAAAAATAGTAAAAACAACCTTCATGAACTGTGGGGATTATTTTAAGGGCAAAATATCCCGAGCGTGGTTATACTACTACCTATGCACCTATACTGTAGATAGTGAATTATTCAGTTTATCGACCTGGCAAGAAAATGGGTATATGGTATGTATTTCAGCTACAAGCCTGTTTACCAACGAAGTCATTTATACTTGCCTTGGCCGTGTGTGTTTCTTGTTCAGGAACCTGGGGATGAATGCACAGCTGGTCACGTGATCCTAGCACGCATACTTTCGGTCTGAAACAAAAATAAATAGAAAACGCCAATTTCAAATTTTCCTCACAGTTAAATCTTAGTTTCCCGGTTGAACTCAGCACTCAGGGCTTCATGTTAATCGTGTTACCCTGCGTTGTTTTTGCGCTCGGGTTTGAGGCTGTGAATGCCGGGCTTAATTCAACCTCAAGCCAGTTGAAATTTGAAAATGCCTTATATCATATGAGCCGCGAGTATAATTAACTTACTTGTAAACTGTACTCTTCAGTTCATTTACGACTTGTGTAAGTTGTGAATGAGTTCTTGATGTGTAGATGATTTTTGGGATTAAATATTCGGGAGATTAATAGAGAAAAAATATATCAGGAAGCTTCTCGGTTAGAATATTTAGCTGAATGTGAGCTAGATAAGCAGGATATGCTCACATCCAAATAATCAAAGAAACAATAGCTACGCGTTTATAAATATATTATTATAAATATGGCGGTGAATATATTATTGTGAAGTGATAAAAAATATTATGAACGAGTACATTTTAAAAGACAAACAGGTTGACCTATGGCAAAATTATCTTGTTTATTTGACGTCAGATCGTTTGATAAAAGGCTATATAAAGGCTCATTGCAGAAATCTTAAAGAATATAAAGCAAACAAGTAAGAAAATCTTTGAAATTACATTGTACTTTCTGAGCGCATGTAAAACACAATTGCTCATACTACATCATTTCTGTTGTTTGGTCATGTGATGAAAAAACGCGGAACTATTGGTTCTTTTGATTAATTATAGTGTCTAGCTCGCATTCTGATTGGTTCCTGAGGTCGCTACAGTTTCTCCATTTTGGCGCGAAATCGTAACATTCGCATTTTAGATCCGCCGTTGAGAAGTATATCAGCAAAATGTTTACTATTTTTCGCTTGGTAAGAAATATAATATCAATATTACAATTTCATCTGGGTTCCTTCGCCATTTTTACATTTTTTAGCCCGTTGTTTTATTGAAAATGTGGAATATTCCTAAACAAGTTCGAAATTCTAATTATTGAAAATGGCAACAAAATCTAAAAGCAACACATACGCCATTTTTCAGGTAAACATAATTTCATCAGATTATATGAAGATTCATGAAGATGTTGTTTTGAAATTGTGTTTTTTCTAACCTTTTACAGTAAGTTGTGTCTTGTTATTAAGGGCAAAAATCACAATGTAAACAAAGTTATACGAAAGTTAAATGACTTCAGAAACCCGTTGCGCTTGCAATTTTCGTTAAAAATCGTTCCGTGTATCAATTTCGAGACTTAAATTATAGGCTGAACAGAAGAATACCTGAACTATAGATCTCGCTACTTTATTTTCATAAAAAACTTGACCAAATGCCCTTATGGACTTTATGCCCAGATAATAGGCAATATATATGCGTTCAAATCAGACTCACATTTTACAATAGTTTACCTTCACTTCACTTTACATTTACGGATTTTACCTTCACTTTCTTCTGACATCCAGCCATCAGCAGCATGGTTTCTTTCTAAATCATCACAAAACTGGCCACTTGCTTTATTTTCTTGAACCTTCATACTCAGTTGCAAGCGAGCCACAAATGTGTCTCTCCAGGCCAGTGTTGCACAAAGTAAACATAATGTCTTTCCAGTTCCTGTTGGTGATTCTAAGATACCATTTTTACCCTGAAAATGGTAGGATGTTATTGTCTGGAGAAAGCTGGCTATTGGTGTTATAATGTATGGGGGTGGTATGGTGGGGGTGAGCCACATATAACACCTCCCCACCTAGTTGTAAATATTACAACACCTAAAAGAAAAAAATCCACAGGTTTTTTAGTAATTGTTGATATCCCTTAACACCTGATGATATTGATCATTAATTATATTTTAGCAACATTTAGTACAAAACTTTGAACTTTAAAGATGGAGGAGCAAAGGTAAGATATTATAACACAAGACAAATAAAATAGTAGACACAAAACTTGATACAAATAAAAATCATTATATTTCGGGGAATTAATCGCCAGATAATGTGCTGCTATAATTTTCAATTTTTCATTCTTGCGGCAACTGTCAGGTAAAATTCTTTTGTTTGTACCAAAGTCGAAATGATAGAAATTAGAGACCTGGATGTACAAGACATTAAGGGGCTGTTTACATGAGCCCTACAGGAAGGGAGGGCTAGCCCAACCTGTAGGGCTGTTTTTCACCTCTGTTTACATGCAAAATTCTAACCCCACATCTACGGCTGAGTCTGGACGGCACATTTTGGCACCAAAAACAAAATGGCTGGCACCAAAAAAAACACAAAATTGTTATTTTCACTATTTCATTTAAAATATCTTTACTTTTCCTAATGATTTTTCAACAGTATACCCTGTTATTGCCTCGAAAAATTAATGAAGAAAGCTGGAACCGTCAAATAGTGTCATCGCTGACGTCAAATCTTTTGCT